GTTCACCAAGTCAACGCGCATCATCGAGGGCCCTTGCTGTCGTAGGGCCCTCTAACCGTCCTTGCCCTCTCGCATGCTTCTCTCCCCACACCCCCAAGCTGTTAGAGACTAAGGACGGAGCCTATAAACGTTTAGGGGCCGAAATATCTCAAAATCGTTGACTACAATTCTGGAAAGAAAAGTCGTCGCTACAAGAAACGCCGTCGACGAAAACAGCAGCGTTAGGGCGGGTCCAGCGCGTACGTTTACATGTACTATATAGTTCATTTGTAGTGGTTTGAAAAGATATCGAGCGGTGCATAGCGGTTCTCAAATTGCACCATTTTGAACCGTGATGAAATACAGACTACCGTACTGGAAGAACTGTAAGGTACGGAAAACGTACGCGCTGGACCCGCCCTTAGAATTCTCTCACACTCGAGTAAGTTGTAGCCCTTGAATGTGGCTCTCTCTCCCAATTTGAATCGTATCAAAAGATGGGGTATAACTCGAGTTATGGATTTCGGCGCACTAGGGGGTATGCTGCCGTAGAAACTTAACTCAATCACAATAGTTTTTACAAGTTCACACAAGAAAGTTAGAGTAGCTAGAAACCAGGTAGGAGAGGACGAGGAGGACGAGAGGGAAGGTCCCCAAGGAGCCCCAACCAAGGAAACCCCATAAGCACAAAGATTCCCTCCCTATGGGCACCCCAACTTTGACCTTTGCCACTTTTCCAACCCATGCCATCCAGGTCACCCAACTTGGCCACACTTGCCAACTTGGTTTGGCTTCTCCCAACCATTTGTTATCATCTACAGTGATGCGGACGAATTTCCCAACCCCCAAAAGTCTGTACCCTATATTGAGTCAACTCGCAAATTTCCATAGTCGCCCATATTGCAAGCGGTGGGAGGTGATGTGCACTGTGGACAGCGGTGGTGCCCCGTGAAAGCATGCTGCTACTGACAGTGCAGATGAGTGGCAGAGGCAGAGGAGGGTGAGTGAGGCGGAGCAGTTTGAGTGAGGCGGAGGAAGGTGGCATAGGGGGCAGCAGCAAGTTGCAGGTGGTAGACGAGTTGGGTGTGAGAGGGCCAGTTTCCCATGCTCCCCATTACCGCGTCTCTCCATTGCCACCCAGCAGGCTCGCGTGCAGCACACTGGGCCCCACGGGAGAACAGCGGGGAGGATGCAGCCTGCTCCTATGTGCAACTGCTAGGGGCTCACACGTGTGCACGATTAGAGGCAGTGAGCGCGAGAGCAAGTGGAAGGCACAAGCGGAATGTGGATCAGTGGAGGAGGGAAATGAGCTCATTTTGGATTGTGTGTCAAATATGTTTGTATGTCTATAGGTTGTAGTGGGATAGCCTCTACTGAGTACAACACTTTAGGGTTAGACCTAGTACTTGTACTCATCTCACATTCCGAGTCCATCATTCCTGCACGTTATTTTTGACATGGTATTCAGAGCAGGTCCTTCCGTAGGATCGCCCTGTTAGGGCCCACCGTTAGCTTTGAAGTGCCTGAACTGCCTTGCCCTTACGTTCCTGCCCTGCTCAACTGCATCCATCACGCTGCCCTGCCCGTGCTACCCCACGCGCCCTGCCCTGCCCTACGTGCTGCCCGCTTGCTGCCCAGCGGATGACCCACATGCTGCCTGCTTGCGCCTTGCTCGCACTGCCTGCATGCGCGCTGCCTGAGCTCACCGCGCGCCCTGCCTGTACGCTGCACCCGCTGCCCGTTCGCTGCCTGCGCTGCCCGCGCGCTGCCTGCACCGCCCGCGCGCTGCCTGCACCGCCCGCGCACTGCATTTTCTGCCCACGCGCTGCTCGCCCCGCCCTCGAACTGCTTGCGCACTGCCTGCACTGCGGGCGCCCTGTCTGCGCACCGCGCACCCTGCCTGCGCACCGCCCGGACGATGCTGGCGCCGCCCGCCCGCTGCCCCTATGGCCCGTGCCACCCGTGCTCTGCCCGCACAGCCCGCGCGCTCTCCTGCGCTGCCTGCACGCGCCCTGCATACGCTGCAGTTGCTGTTGCCGCCCGCGCTGTGCCCCCTGCCCTGCCGAGCCGCGCCGCCCTGCCAAACTGCCCAGCTGAGCCGCCCTGCCTAGCTGCCCAGCCGAAATGCTTTTGCTGCCTTACCTTTTTGCTGCTGCTGCTTCTGCTGCCACTGCAACTACCCAGACGTTTCACTGTTAGAGCACACTTCGTACTCAGTGGCTCACGTGCGATGCTGCTGCCCGCATTTCTGTCCGCAATGCCCTTCCGCTAAAGGAACGAATAGGCCGTATCATGCTACCGTACCTCTTTCCTGAGCTGCCGGATTTCCACATTGTCGCTGACCTCATGACCCACCTTTGCTCTAGTGACACTCGCTACCGTGCCGCTCTCAAGCAAGCCTTTCTAACTGCGAACCAGCCTCCAATGTACATCACTCTATACTACCTCATTACTCGCCTCCCTGAATCCCTCCACACTGTTAGAGACCACTCTCTTGCTCTTGACCCCACCAAGCCCACCCTTATTTTGCGGGGGTGGTGGCGGGGGTGGTGGCAGTGGTGGTGGTGGGGGTGGAGGCGGTCGTGGTGGCGGGAATGGAGGCGGTGTGGCGGCAGTGGAGGTGGCGGGGGTGGTGGAGGCGGTGGAGTGGGCGGAGGGGGCTCGAGTGGCGGTCAAGGTGGAGCTGGCAGGGGCAGAGGATATGGGGCGGCGACTAGGGGTGCAGCTCGTGGTGGCGGAGGCACTGGGGGTGGACAGCAGCAGCAGCAGCAGCCACGCCAGAAGGAGCCACGCACCCCTCAGGATCTTCGTGAGTGGGTTGTCTAGCATGGCTCCTCTGGGGGTAGTGTTAGTTGCCCGTACATCAGGCGTAAGGGTCGCAGGATTGGTGAGCCCTGTGGGAAGACTGGGCAAACTGTGTACCGTTGCTTCTGCCGTCTCGAGGATGCCTGGCGCACCGAGTGTATGATCAGGGCCCCAACTGGTTAGGATTGATAGGGAAAGGGGTGGATGTGTTTGCTCTTGACTTTGACAAGATCATTGCTGGAATCACAGCTGTGTATGCTGGTTCTAACCCTAGTGTTGAGGGTGACTGTCACTCATTTGTGACGCGTGTTGCTGGTGTCGAGACTGCTGCTCTTGGTGCTTGTAGGTCTGATGCCGAAGGTATTGCTTTTGCTGAGGCCTTGCAACACTTGACTCAGGCGCGTCTCGCTGCTTCTTTCGCGATTGCACCACAGTCACACCGCTCACAGCACTTATCCCAGTCGCTCTGGCTGACCCCTCTAGGGGCCCAATCGTTGCACGAGCCTCCCCTGTCCTCCCTTGTCCGGCGGTCCCCTCCGGCTTTCTATGGTCTGCACCTCCCCTCATTCTCTACGAACTTGGTGAGTAACTCTGTCCTCCAGGACGAGTTCGTCAGTACCTTTACTCCCGGAGGTGGGCGTGTGGCGATCTGTACGAAATCACGCGCCAACGAGCACCTCGCCATGTTCCCTCGAAGTATTGGGTCAAGAATGTACACACTGACCACTGATTCTGTACAGGTGGCTGCGTCGGGTCAATTAGCTGCGTCTTGTTCGTGTCCGCTCGTCACGCACCAGACTCTCCTTTGGCACAACCCTCTTGGTCACCCCTCTCTGCCGCGCCTCCGGGGCATGCTCTCTCGTCTCCTAGTCTCTTGCCTCCCAAGGTCCCTGCCCCCGCTCCCGCCCTCGCTTGCGCCGCCGTGCCTTCCCTGCGTCAAGGGGCGGCACCGCGCCGCTCCTCACTCCTCCTCGTTTCCTCCGACCACTGCTCCTCTGCGGACTCTCCACATGGACGTGTAGGGCCCAGCCCGCGTCCGTGGATAGGACCAGGAGTGATACTTCCTCTTAGTTGTTGACGACAACACGCGCTACACCACGGTCTTACCCTTGCGGAGCAAGGTGGATGTCCGCGGTGCTTCGATCCTCTAGATCATCGCGATTCATTGCCAAATGAGTGCACGGCTTTAGTAGGACCTCTAGGTCTTGCGACTGCACTCTGAAAGAGGCGGTGCGTTTTCCTCCCACCTCCTTTATGATTTTTGTCGTGCGGAGGGCATCGCCCAGTCATTCACGCTTCCGGCCTCTCCACATCATAATGGGATTGCTGAGCGTCGCATTGGCTTGATCATGGAAGTTACTCGCACCTCCATGATCCATGCGGTTGCTCCCCATGTGGCCGTTTGCGGTCTAATACGTCGCGCATCAACTCAACCTCTCACTCCATGTCTCTGTGCCAGAGACCTCGCCCCACTTCGTTGGACAGGGGAGGTTGGCAATGCACCGTCGTTTTGAGTCTGGGGCGCGCTCTCCCTTGTCTGGGACACCACCGCTGGCAAGCTCTCTCCTCGCACTCTCTGCTGTGTCCTCCTTGGCTTCCCACTGATGCCTCGCCCTTGCAGTTTTACCACCCTGCCTCGCGCCGCGTCCTGTCCTCACAAGACGTCACATTTGACCAGCCGGTCTGCTTCTACCGTCTCCACCCACACGCGTCTTCTCCAGTCCCCCCGCCGCCCCTCTTATGGGTCCCAGGTCCCCCCCCGGTAGACCCCCTCCCCCCACAGGGTCCTGCTCCCTCAAGTGTGTCTCAGGTGGACCCACCCCCCTTGGTTGAGCCTTTGGAGGTCTCCTCTGACACCTCTGGCCCAGCTGAGGGGGGTGACCCCGCTGCTGACGATACGGCAACTACTCGCCGCTCCCCGCGCTTGGAGACCCTTCCTGGTTTTCCGCCTCGACCGTCTTCGCCGCATCCACGGCGTGTCGCTGTGGACTCTGGTGCTGCTAGGGGTGGTGACATTGGGGGTGCAGATCCTGGAGGTGTTGGTCCTGGGGTTGCTGACTCTAGAGGTGTTGGATTTGGGGGTGCTGATTCTGGGGGTGCTGTGAGTCCTAGTGGTGGTGGAGTCGTGGGTGCTCCTACTGGAGGTCCTAGCGTTGGACCACAATAGCAGTCTCGTCGACAAGAGACCCTCTCGCCGCAGCAGCTTCACAACTGAAATGTTTGGTGGGGCCGGGTTTCTGGAGCTTGGAGTATTGGAGCTAGAGGTGCTGCTTGTGCTGGAGCTACTGGAGCTGCTGGTGCTGGAGGTATTGGAACTAGAGGTACTAGAGGTGATGGTCTGGGAGGTGCTGGAGGTGCTGGAGCTAGAGGTGCTGGAGGTTCTAGAGCTAGAGGTGCTGGAGGTGCTAGAGCTGCTAGTACTCGAGGTACTGGAGCCGGAGGTGCTGGAGGTACTGGCACTGCTGGTGCTCGAGGTGCAGGAGCTGCTCGAGCTGGAGGTGCTAGAGCTGCTGGTGCTAGAGGTACTGGAGCTGCTAGTGCTGGAGGTGCTGGTGCTGGAGTTGCTGTAGATGCTGGAGCTGGTGTCAGAATGAGAAACGAGAATGAGGAGTGACTAGCAGGAACAACAGTACAAATATGTCAAACCCTAATCTGGTGTACCCCTTATGGTGTGACCCACTACAGCCTAGAACCACACAAACATATAATGTTTGACACACCCCCATAGGCAAAGTGGGGGAGACCTAGGGGTCACAAGACCAGTCAAGGCAAAACAAGGCAAACAAGCTCAGGGTGGATCTCGAGGATTCCACACAAATTCCGAGCACAAGCAAGCGGTCATAAGACCAGTTCACATGCAGTTTTATAATAGAGCAAGAGGTACAATGATCACAACCTAACAAGGCAAACATGCAGGTATATATATAATGATCACAGTACAGGTAAAGTCAAGAAGTAAGTAAGTGAAAAACAGTCGGCACAAGGCCTAGAAGAGTGCAAAAACGCTGATGGTCAACAGGCGGAAGCGCCTTGGTGAACACATCAGCAGTGTTGGCCTCAGTGGCCACGTAACGCAGAAGAAGCTGACCACGCTGCTGTAGCTATCGAGCTAGAAATTAACGCAGAGCAATGTGCTTCGTCCTGTGCTCCAGTCTGTGCTCCTGGCACAAGTCAATGGTTGCCTTGTTGTCGACGTACAGCACTGGAGGAGAACGAGGCTGCTCTCCAAGGTCAGTCAGCAGGTAGGTGAGCCAGCGAAGCTCCTGGGCAGCCATGGCCGTGGCGTAGATCTCAGCCTCACAGCTGGAGCTGAGAACAGAAGAAGAACGAGTAGAACGCCAAGAGACAGAGCCAGAGCCAAGACTGAAGGTGTAACCCTGAGACGACCGCTGAGTAGCCTGGTCGTCTGCCCAAGAAGTGTCTGAGTGCCCAGTGAGAACAGGCCGGTCTCGCCCTCCAAGCACTAGCCCCATGCCCGACGTACTGCACAAGTAGCGCAACACCCTCTTAGCTGCATCCATGTGCTCCTTCCGGTGACGGCCGGAAGCAACATAGCGTGCTAAGATGCTGAGAGGGTATGCTAGGTCAGGTCGAGTGCAGGTCATCAGGTACATGAGGCAGCCCACAAGCTCTGGATACGGACCACTCGACTCTACGGACTCTTCCGAAGGCAGAGCTGAGAGCGAGTGACCCGTAGGCAGTGGAGTGGACTGAGGCGAGGAGTACGTGAAGCCGAAGCGCTGAAGGACCTGCTGCACCATGTGTGACTGAGTCAGGGTAATGGTGCGGCGTGCTCTGTCCCGGGTGATCCGCAAGCCAAGATAGCTTGTCAGTTCACCCAGGTCTGTGCACGTGTGTCTCTTCTGCAGCTCGGACTTCACGTGGGCGAGTGCGGCAGTGTCCGCAGTGGCAAAGACCAAGTCGTCGACGTACACGAGGATGTAGAACGGCGGCAGCGAGGTGTCGGTGCGCAGAAACAGCGACGGGTCAGCAGTAGAAGGAGCAAACCCAAGAGCCGCAAGTGTAGTCCTCAGTGTGTCGTGCCACTCACGCGGCGCCTGGCGGAGACCGTAGACTGGCCGCCGGAGGCTCCACTGGGTGCCAGGAGGGAACGACCCAGTGAAGCCAGGTGGGCGGCGCAGCCAGATCTCCTCGTGCAGGCTGCCCTGCAAGAAAGCTGTGCTGAAGTCAAGAGAGTGGAGCTCGTAGTCACGCTGAGCGGCGACGTGTAGCAGAACCCGAAGAGTGGTCATCTTCGGGGTCGGGGAGAAGGTCTGGAAGAAGTCAACTCCCTCTTGCTGACTGAAGCCTCGTGCAACGTAACGCGCCTTGAAGACAGGCGGAGAGCCTGGCGGCCGCTTCACCCTGAAAATCCACATGCCACTGACGATGTTCGCCCCAGGTGGGGGAACGTCGTCGACGTAGGTGCCTGTGGACTTCCAGGAAGCCATCTCTGTGTCCATGGCTGACTGCCACTGAGAGGAGTAGGGACCGGCCATCGCCTCTGCGTAAGAGCGTGGGGTCGGGATGTCTGGTGCATCCGGGTCTCCCTCAGGGGCAACAAGCATGGACACGAGATGGGGCAAAGCAGCGGCAAGGCAACCAAACTCCTCCTGCCTGTCCTCAAGGACGTCCGTGCCAAGAGCACACTCACCCCCGACGGACGGAGGACAGGCAGACTCAGACTCAGCAACAAGACTCGCTGCGTAGTCTAGACGACACGCAGCTGCAAAGTCGACAAGCTCAGTGACTAGGGCAGACGCAGCAGCGGACTCAAAGGAAGGGTCAGTGACAACCGTAGCCAGGAGACGTGTGACAGTAGGACTGGCAGCGCGAAGGGAGTCTGACTCCGGGTCAGCAAGAGCAGGAAGAGAGGACGCAGGAGAAGACGGGAGAGCAACACGCTGCGGAGCAGTGGACTGACGAAGCGCCATCCGGTGCGTGCCTGGGACAGCAGGAGGACGCTCACGCGGGACACGACTACCAGTGGTAGCAGCTCGAACAGGCGACGCTCGACGAGACGCAGGTGACACAGGACGTGACGGTGGCTCACGTCTCTCAGCAAGACCGTCAGTCGGACCAGTGTAAGGAGCAGGCACAGGGAGTGGGGAGGCAGGCGGTAACTGTGGCTGTGACTGGACAGACGGCGGACACTCTAAGGCGAGAGGAGAACAAGGAGGAGGAGGCTGACCAAGAACCTGCTGAAGGAGCGGAACGAAGTACGGTCGTGGCCGTGCAGAAGCTCTCGATCCAGCAGAGACACCAGCAGCAGCAGCAGCACCTCCAGAAGCAGCAGCACCTCCAGCACCAGGGTCCGCAGCACCTCCAGCAGCACCGCCAGCAGCAGCAGCACCTCCTGCAGCACCGCCAGCAGCAGTAGTACCTCCAGCAGCACCGCCAGCAGCAGCTGCACCTCCAGCACCAGGGTCCGTAGCACCCACAGCAGCTCCAACGCCCGGGTCCTCAGTACTAGCAGCACCTCCAGCAGCACCGCCAGCAGCAGCAGCACCTCCAGCAGCACCGCCAGCAGCAGCAGCACCTCCAGTACCAGGGTCCGTAGCACTCGCAGCAGCGTCAACTCCGGGGACCCCAGCACCAGCAGCTCCACTACGGAGACTGATGTGCCGAGCGTACCAATCTCGAAGCTGAGGGGAAGAGGGCGGCTCCCGCCGTGGTGGGGAAACACGAGTACCAACTCCAGCAGCACCACGAGCCCGAGACTCACCCCGCCGGAGGCTGCAGTACCGTGAGTACCACTCACGCAGCTGCTGCGAAGAGGGAGGTCCTCCAGGCGCCTCACAGTCAACTGCAACACCACCAGGCTCAGCACCCCCAGGCTCAGCAACTCCAGGCGCAGCACCCCTAGACTCAGCAACGCCAGGCTCAGTACCCCCAGACCCAGCACCCCCAGGCTCAGCACCCCCAGGATCAGCACCCCCAGACTCAGCACCCCCAGGCTCCGCCCGCTCAGGCTCCGCACGCTCAGGCTCCGCACGCTCAGGCTCAGCACCTCCAGCAGGACGCGAGTCGACAGCTACCTCGGCAGGCTCAACCGGGTCTACCTGAGAGACACCTGAGGGAGCGGCACCCTGAGGGGGAAGGGGGTCTACCACTGCAACACCTGGCGCGAGGAAGAGAGGCGGGGGAGGGAGCGGGGCAGTGCGGTAGGGGAAGAGGCGGTAGAAGGGCACGGACTCGTCAAAAGTGACGTCCTGAGAGGGGAAGACTCGGTGCGAGGCGGGGTGGTAAAACTGCCAGCCAGACGCATCCGGGACAAAGCCAAGAAAGGCACAGGGAGCAGTGCGGGAGGAGAGCTTGTCCGCAGACGTGTCGCGAACAAAAGCTCGAGATCCCCAGACACGGAAGCGTGATGCATCGCCAACCTCCTCCGTCCACAGCAGTGTGGGCGAGGTCTCCGGAGCGGAGACACGGGGCCAGAGGTTGAGCTGATGCGCAGCGTACCGGACCGCAAACGGCCACAGAAAGTGGGGGGCAGCCGCGTGGACTAAGGAGGTACGAGCGACCTCCATGACCAAGCCAATGCGGCGCTCAGCAACCCCATTCTGCTGTGGAGAGGCCGGGAGCGTGAACGACTGGCGAATGCCGTGCTTGGCACAGTAGGCTGCCAAGAGGTCGGAGGAGAACTCGCCACCTCTGTCAGAGTGCAAGCGCAGAACAGGAAACTCCGAGCGAAAACGCTCTCGCAGCTGAAGACGTGCTCTGCTGATCCAGGGGATCAGAACATCAGGGACTTCACCCTTGGTGCGCAAGGGGAAGACCGTGGTGTAGCGCGAGTAGTCGTCAACGACGATCAAGAAGTACCTCTCCTGGCCCTGACCACGGACGCGGGCTGGGCCCCACACGTCCATGTGGAGCGTCTGCAAAGGAGCAGTCGTCGGGGGGAACGAGGAGGATTGAGGGGCAGCGCGCTGCCGCCCCTCGACACAGGGAAGACAAGGAGGAGCAAGGGAGGGTGGGAGGGGAGGGAGTACCCGAGGAAGACCAGAGACAAGGTACCGGGCGTGCATGCCCCGAAGGCGCTGCACTGACGGGTGACCAAGTCGGTGGTGCCAGAGGACAGTCTTGTGTGCTAGAGAGCGACACGAGCAGGGGGCAGAGAGCTGACCTGACGCAGACGCAGACGCAGACGCCGCTACCTGAGGGGACTCAGTGGTCAGTGTGTACAGGTCCGACCCCGGCTGCCGAGTGAAGGTAGCCAGGTGACGGCCCGTCCGAGCACACGTGCAGTGTGTCACACGCTCGTAGGCAGGGGTGAACTGGTGAACACCCCCATCCTGAAGCGCACAACCCGCCACCAAGTTCGTAGAGAACGAGGGGAGGTGGAGACCTGACAGTGTGCCCGACGGGACAGCAGGACAAGGAAGGAGGGTGGAGGAGGTCGCAATGACCGGACCCCCAGAGGGGTCAGCGAGCGAGACAGCGACTGGTCGAGCAAGGGGCTCAAGAGCAGTGCGGTCACGAAAGAAACAGCGCGAAGCGCCTGAGTCTAGAGTTAAGGTGTGCAGTGCCTCAGTGGACTCAGTAGCACCTGGGGTGGCGGACACACACG